CCCAGAAAATTTGGGTGATCGTTATAGTATGATTTTGGGTAATGCCGGGCGGTCGGATACTTATGGTCCCTACTGTATGTTTATTAAGACTGAGCTTACATTAAAGCAAAATTCAATTATCTTCTATGTACTTTAATACCTGCCAAGACCTGCCAAGATTCATACAGCGCTGCATTCAGTATCCTCCACTGTAAAAAATTTGAAATTTAAATTTAGTCCAATATTTTTAGTAAAATCAATTACGTATTTTCCTGCAAAATGAACAATTCAAAATTCACAGTGCAGTTTCTTAGCACCAAATTGAGGTTTAATATAGGTTTAAATTTTCTACTTTATGTGGTACTTAATGCATGTGCGTACTGTTTTTTATTAGATGATCAATTTCTACATCAAATTGTAGAACAATACTTGTACTTTATTGTTCTACACTTTTAAATTTGTAGAATTAGTGTAAAACAACATGATATCAATACGCATTAAAAAATACGATTGATACAAGTACGTACATGTATTAATCGATGTATTGCTCTATGCTTGTATATGTAGTATAGAAAGACGTAATTAATGTGTTCTACACTTTCAAATACATGTACATGTACTCTCTGATGCTTAATGTTTCTGGTGAAGCTATTTTTCAAAATCCGAAACGTTTTGCTCAGTGAACTTTCAGTTTCGCGAACCTTAATTTGGAAATTTGTAGATCAAATTAGTTTCGTCTGAACACTACCTCTATTTATCTGGAGGTAAAAAAAATCACGTCTTCATCTATCTGGAGGTGAAAATTTCCTAGATATAATAATCTAGGACAAGTGGAGCAATTTGTTAAATCGTTCCACTGCACCATAGAGTTCTGCAATGCACATCTTATCATTATTACAGTACATACGTACATGTGTAGATTTCCGCTTCTCTATGTTACATGTACATGTACATGTATATCCATCATTACATGTGGACATGCACTTTGAGCAATGTACGTGTATTTTTACCAACGTAATAGTCGCAGTTTGTCTCGATAATAAAAGGACGGGATTTTCACCTCGATACTCATAAAAAAATTGGATTTTCTCAAAATTAATTGCAAAAATCTAAAGAATAACACATAATAACTTATTACATCATGGTCATCGTTATTAAAAAGACATTATTCGTATTTTTGGTTCTTTATTTATTTGTTGCTCTTGTAACAACATTTCCAACTATTTCCCCTCACCTTCAACGTCGCGATGTGGGTGTATCTACCGCAAGTTTCTATGAAGGAAAAGTTGAAGGAACTGTTACATTTACTGATACTGACGGCGGCAATCAATGCGCAATTGTAATGCAGTTTTCTGAAGGAATTGTGCAAGAAAAAGCATATGATTTTTTAATTGTTGCAAATTATGAAAGTGTTGATGATTCAGATGCTAAAAAATTTTCAGTCGCTCTAAACACAATTCCGCCTTCTCTTCTAACTCTGGGTAATGCTGTTCTCGCTGAATCTTTTTGTGAAAATCTTGACGGTAAATATCTCGTTATTGTTGAGGTTGAGGATGGTCAAGAAATTGGACGTGCACAAATTAAGGTTCCAATTGCGGTTTAAATCCCAATACAAGATTAGTACATGTGCATTGCAATTTATTAGAATTGAATAAATTTAGTATAATTTTTATGTATCTTTAATTTTAGTAGAATTTAATCATCATAACTTTGTATTATTGAAAAACTGTTAGAAAGTTCATATAATACGAGAGTTTTTATAATATTTATTATTTCTAATTCATTAATAAATAGTAGTTATACTGTTAATATTTTTCCTTCTTTTAATATATGAAAAACTTTTTAAACTCCTGATGGGAGCCAAGTATTTCTCCGCCCCAAAAATTTGATAATACGTATTCTGAGTGGTAAAGGAGCAACGTACAATGTAAACTATCTATAAATAACTGAGACATTTTTTTATTATTTATATTCTTGATATTGTCTATGTTGAACGTCACCCATTAACCATATGAATTAAAATTTTGACAATATGATGCATTATTACCTCGTATAATGCATAATTACATGATCCTGAATGCACGCTCATAGCGGTCCCGAGGAGTGCATTTAGGGAGGTTTCACTGCACTTTTACATTTCGTTTGTTCTATTTTATAAAGGTTTCTCACACTTCAGAAATGTAAGGAGGTGCAATGAACTTTGCTGAACTTTTTCCACTCGATGTTCCGTAGGTTTTGTATGTTTAATTGCGAAAATGATTGTTTGGCACAGCTATCAAATCTGAAGTGATTAACACACACCATATCGATATGGTCTGTAGCCACTTGGGCTATCGTTATCAAATAATTACATGTACGTAATTATTAACTTAACAGTAATACATGTATAACCTTAAATGGTGGAAGCAGAAAATAATTACCACACAGAAAAAGCCCACCGAGAAAAAGCCGAAAAGCAATTGCGAGAAATTAAAATTGTGTGTGCTGATCACTCAGGATAATCGAATGTTGACTGTAAAACACTAGACGAAGAAGACGCCGGAAATGGAACAAAAATCCTTAGCGTTAGTTAGCTTCAAGGATTAAATAAAAACGGTTTGTTATTGGAGCAACAGGTTTAAGCCAAAGGTTATTAATTGATAAAATACTCTATAAATATAAATAATCTGCGATGATTATTTTATATCGATGGGCGCAACATTGCACTAATTTGTTAGCAGTTTCTAGAGGTCCGGTAATGCTGCAGATAAGTTCTAAATTTTTTGGATTTTTGAGAAAAAACACACACACAAAAGACTAAAAATACATCATATCCTAAAAAATCATATAGAAAAAAAGAATGGTTAGATGGGTCTTAATGCCGTAATTAATTTCGGCAGCGTCTATATAAATTGTCCAAATTATTTTTGGCAGCCGTAATTAATTTGGCACTTTTACATATACAGTGCTTGACAGTAACCTACCTCCCCCAATAACTTCATTTTGGTACATTACACATGATCTATGGAAAGTTATGAGGTAGGTTACTTCTGTATTTTAATAGATGCCCAAATTAATATGGATTTTGCCGATTAGCATTATAGCCGTACAAAACGTTATGTTAAAATTCAGCATAGGTGATTGATTTGCATTTGTTCAAAGCCTTTAGTCATACTCGTCTTACAAACATATAAATACATAAATCACATATATAAAGGTTGTAAATATCTGTTTGTCATGCATTTACATACATACTCAATTACGTGTTAATATGTAGAGCTCTGTTCGGATTGGGTTTGAGATCAACCCGATCCGATAAATTCGGATCGGTTCAGGTTCGGTCGTAAAAATCACGAAATAGTTTTTCGTTAATAACTTTTATTTTACTAAGAAACTCGTATTTTGTGTCTTGAGTTGTTTGGAATGTAATTGAACATATATCTACAAATTTTCGTTCAATTTGAATTAATATTGAACGAGAAATAATGATTTTTCGTCTGATCCGAAATATTTCGGATCGGATTTGACACCAACCAGACCTGAACTGAAGTGTGAGGTTTGGGTCGGGTTACGGATTTGACCTGACCCGATTGGAGCACTACTGCAAACACATGTAAAAAATGACCTTTTACATGTCGTTTACAGACAGCCGTTTCATATATTTCTATTTTTATCACAGAAATAAATCGTAAAAATAATAAAAATATATACTGTATCTGTAAATTTTAAGCATTAGATAACACCAACCAAAACTAGCTTGTCTTCACTCTCTACTGATTTAAAATACTACTTGAAGGCTTTATCTTTGTTAATCCGATTCCTTCATTATAACATCAACAAATAAGATATTGTCCTGCTAAAAATAGCTTTTATCTCAGTTGTATTTATTTCTTCCAGTTCCATTTTCTGTAAAAGAAATCGAGAATATAGTGCCCTCTGCTATTCCAAATATCACTCTAAAACATTTTTCTCATCTTTTTGGGATCCGATTCCTTAGTATAACAATAACCAAGCCAAGACTATATTATACTTTCATGCTTCCACCCTCTGCTTATTTCAAATACAAAAAAATACCTTTGTTCATCTTTTTATGTTCGATTCCTTCTTGCCTTTGGCGTTTTCATCCTCTGCTGATTTTAAATACTACTCAAATGCTTTTTTGTGTCCCAATACCATATGATAACAGATGTTAAGACTACATTGTTCACTAGTGTCTCCGTCCTTTACTGCTTTTAAATACTCAAATACTATTTTTCTCATCTTTTTGTGTTCCTATCCCTTTATTATAATATAACAAGCTTAAATATCCCTGTCACATTTCCATCCTCTGCTGATTTCAATATCACTCAAATGGTTTTTTTCATCTTTCTGTGTTCCAACTCCATGTTGTTAACAGCTGCCAAAATTGTTTTGTCCCACGAATACTTATTTTTATCTTTTCCGATTCCATGATATATGTAATAGGTATATCCTAGCAAGAATTGAGTAAAGAATTATTGTCATTTGATAAATGTTCAATGCTAATACAACATTCTTTTAAACTATGAGTCCAGTTTGAAAAAGATACCCCAAAAGTAGCTTATATTGAGCACTTGTATCAAATAGTTTTGAATTCTGACTGTATAAGTTATAATACGATTGTAGTTCGGCGCCTGGTTTATCTAAATTTCCGAGTAAATATTTAATAGTCACTAACTCGTCAATAATTTTATAATATTGATTTGATATCTCCAATTCTATTTGATTTTGTTTCACTGAATTGTTTTTATAATCCAATTCAATCTAATTTGGTTTCTTCATTAGTATGCAAGCTTTGAAGTGTATATTGAGCATTAGAAGGTTTTATTTATAGTTATTATTTTTTCAATTTTCAACATGTCTTTTCAAAAACTATTCACATTTATACATTTCTTCATAATTACAGTTTTTGATCAAATATAGAAAGGGTGAATTGAATTTGTTTTCATCTTTGGCAACCAAATTAATATCCAGAGTAATAACATCTGAATAGTCTTTAATAGCTAAATTATCTGGTTCTTCTGAAGCCAAAGTAGATGAAATGGTTGACCATTCTATTTCTTTAAGTTTTTTTTTGTTTATTTCATAGATATCTGGATGATATTTTGGAAGGTTTTCTTAATGTTACATGTGAATAACAGTATTCTTCTTAATATTAATACCGTTTGCTGTTGATGAGTTTGCTGTATTGGTTCCACTTGTAATTTTTCTGTGTTGTTCAGCCATTGGTTTCGTTGATTGTTTTTGGCGAGTTTGCTATATTGTTGATTTTGTGTGGAGAGGAAGGATTATGGCATGTATATTTTCTATGACCAATGGAATCCACTTGCATCATGTGCTAAGTGTGCTCCTTGTAAATATTTGGAACATGTCTTTTGCATGTTTGTGAGTTATGCGATTTTTCAGTGATTCTTTTTGGTGGATAAACTACATATCATATAATCGAGTTAGAGTGTGATTGGTGGATGGTATGAGTAGAAACTCTAAGATTACGTACTAAAATTTTCTGTTTGACAATCTGATGTAGGGATAGTACGTAATCGATTCCACCCAGAATCGATTCTAAAATCGCTTAATAATTTCGATTAATCGATTAATAGATTCGATTAACGTTAATCGATTTTCAATTTGAGAATCGATGCTCAAGCAGGCTATTTAATTGATTTTGTTCAGGTGTAATTAAGTTTCCCACATCTGAAAATAGAAGTTCAAATGGAACTGATGTGGCAGAAATTGTCAGATATTTACATACACAAATTACAACGATGATGATGACGACGACGACGACGACAGCAAGGGATGACATAACAGGTCTTTGGTTTTGTTTCCCTTTTCGTTGGAATAGTTGAAGTTGTACTTTGATTAGTTGTAATTATACTTTGATTAGTTGAATTCGTAGAGATAAGTTTTGATCAATATCAGGTACTTTTGTCATTATTATCACTATCAGAGTTATCCAACTCATATTAGTAATAGTTTCTTGGCTATTATCAATATTGACATTTTGTTGAATAACAGAGTATTAGTTTGTCATGCGTTGCAACATTATGCATTATTATTATTAATCGATTCTAAGCTTCGATTTACTCATTCTACGATTCTCTAAATTAATCAATTCTAGAGAATCGATCCAACTCCATATGAAAGAACTTGCACAAGATGTTTTGATAATGGTTTTATGACTTTCTTAAAAGATATATCTTTCTCTGCACCGAAAAACGAAGTTTGTTCAAAAACTTCCTACTCGCCTTGATGAAAAACTTCTCAAATTTCAAAGTTTGTTATTAAACATAGATGACTTAATATGATCTTACTGAAATCAGAATATTGATGAAATTCCTATTTATTTCGATATTGTTGGTAATTATGAACGTGGTGCTAAAATCGTGCAAATCTGAATAACAGGAAATAAAAAAATCGGTTTACATTGCCCTTTGGTCAAAATATACCTTTTGGAATGCATCCAATAGGATGGATGGGTAAGGCCAGAATGAAAATTTGGTTTAAAAGATGCGGAAACATGTACAAAAAAAGGGGCTTTTCTTATGATAGCTTTCATAAAAAAATAACGAAACAATTAATTGCATTTTTTACCTAATATATAATCAACTTTTACCTGATTAACAAATCAAGTTATCATTCTCCATAAAAATGGATGCACTTCGCTCCATTCATCCATGAATACGGAAACATCCTAAGTCTGATTAATATTCCGGAACAAAAATATTTGATTAACCAAGGTTTCCCGTTAAACCGGATCTCCCTCTAAACCAGACAAAAAGTCAGCCCAACATGTCCGGTTTAACGAGAGCAACATGAATAATGAATATAAATATGTTACCGAATTTTTCGTTCTTTACAGATTTTAAAATCCAATATAGAGCACGATGTTGATCTCTTAATACACCGCTTCCATTGCAATAACGATATACCATGTCACATTGTGCTGCTTCGAATCCTCCTTCGGCCGATTTTTGAACCCAATAAATGCTTTTAGGATAACTCAAAAATAATGAATATTTAAACGCTCCCTGTGGGTGTCCCAAAATAGCTGCTTTTCTACACGATCCAACGGCTGCTTTATGATCTCTGGCATCCTGATAAAGTTCACCTATTTGTATATTCGCAAAGCTGTTGTCATCATCGGCAGCATATTTATACAATCGATATGCCTGGTCGTAGTCACATTTACCATCAAACCCGATACCGTAATGATAAAAAAATCCTAGTAGATAGGCACAGTCGGTGGATGTTTTTCGTCGTTGATCTAAAAGATGTGCGTGAGATTTTGGTTATTGTTTACAATCCAATTTTCAAGTGTGCCTTCGACAGCAGGGTCTCAATAAATTAGGGTTTGTTGATTATAAAGTTTTAAGGTTTGGGCAATGAGTTCATCGTCCTCCTTGAGTTTTTCGAAATTTGGCTCGTTGTCGTGATTTGACAGTTTATTGTCGATGTTGACTTTTGAAGAATTCATTATCGTTATTTTTTTATTTTAAAATTGATTAGCAATATTCACGTACATGTATCAGCAGCAGTGCATGCATTTTGATCATATGACCCGACAAGTACGTTGACTAAACTATTTTTGCAATTTTGTCAAAAATTTTATAATAACAAATATTTTTGACAATATCTTAAAGAACATGTTCTTTAAAATAATATCCCAGCAAAAAATTAATTTCGTCACGAATTATTACAGGTCAAAACAATTTCGTCAAGAGCTTCGCCATTTCGTCAAATCTACTACGTAATTAAATCAATTTCATCAGGTATCATTAGTACGTATACATATATATTGTTTAGTAGTTGCGGTGACGAAGTCTAGAAACACAAATATTTAAAGCAGCTTTTTCCTGATGTCGATTCATGCCTTTGGATCATTTAAGTACGTCATTTTCCCTAACATGAATCATTGAGCGATCGAGATTAAAATGAGGAGCGGTGCCCTAGAGAAGGTTGGTACTCCGGTGGTTTTTATGAATCTCTAGAAGAATTTCGGATTTTGTTGAGGTTTATAGGAATTATTGGGAATTTACTAGGAAATCACTAGCGCTAGGTAATCACTAGGATAGTGTTGCGTTCCCTTCGATATTTAGTAAAAGGGTTTTATCCCGCGACAGTTAGGGTGGGGGCACCAGATTGTTATGTTTGTTGTAACAATCGACTGACCGAGGGACTTTTCGCAACGAAGATTGAGAGCTAGATTAAATTATTTACGGTTGGAGAAATAAAACATCTTTTCTAACAAAAAACTTCTACCTCCCACTTTTAATTGTATGCATCAAAGCTTGCATAAAAGTGGTTTTAAATTATATTGTGCTGAACAAAATACTATTATTGGATCATTGGCTTTGTATTGTATTGTATTGTGTTAAACAAAATGTTATTATTGAATTTATTGATTTTGATTAAGTATTTTTGATTTTTGTTATTTTAATTTTGTTATTTTTGATTTTCCTCATTTATAAGAACAAAGTGAAAGAATTTTTATTGTTTTATTATTATTAATTATATTATCTCAGCTCTGGAAAGCTTTATGCAAGTACAGAGAATTAGCATTTCAAACCCCATTTATTATTTTCTTATTATTATATATATCTCTCTTCTATTTAATCTTTACTCTCCCACAACTCGTTCATATTTTTATTATATCTTTTGAATCATTACAATTTTCATAAAATTGACATAAAACTTGGATATTTCTCTTTTTTCTAGCTTTTAGTATATTTATTTAATCCCCTTTTCTATTTCAAATTATTTCACCTAATAAAAACTAACAAAAATTAGATTTAAAATCATTTTCAATATTCAATCTAACAAAAACTGAAACTGCTAAATATTTTGAACTATTTCTATACTTAATTAGATAAATAGTTGATAAAAATCTTAATACTTATTTTTTAGTTAACTTTTATCAGATTTAAATCAAAAAAATATTTTATAAATAATAATATTTAATTTAAAAAAATCTGAAATAAGCCTGACCTGGTTAAAATCAGTATAAAAATTTTATTAGATTAAATTTTTAAGAGATATCAAAAAAATTTGGAAACTTATTTTTCAGAGTATGACATAAATATATTTGGCTTATTCCTCTCTCCCAATCAAGTTCCAAGTTTGTAAGCTAATTTAATGATTAGTAAACAAATTTGTAACAATATTATTATTTTTATAATTATCTTCTAATCTTAATTATAATTAATTGATATTTTTTCACTTTAAATAAGTTATTGATTGTAATATTTTTATTAATAAGTTCTATTTATTTATTTAATATATTAATATAATTATTTTAATTATAATTAATTGATATTTTTTCACTTTAAATAAGTTATTGATTGTAATATTTTTATTAATAAGTTCTATTTATTTATTTAATATATTAATATAATTATTTTAATTTTATTTTTTTATTAACAGTTTCAATAAGTCCAATTATTAATTTATTTTTTAATCAGTCTCAATAAATCTTGTTATTTTTTTTAATAGTTATTTTAGTCTGTTATATTTCTTTTATTTAATTTCTCTTTTTGTTTCTATTGATATTAAGTTAGTTTGTGTACAAGCTACCACAGAAGATTCTTAGAATCTTTAGTGAACTCCATTAATAATAAATTATTCAGTTTTCATTCTTTTGCTAATTGTTTTTTGTTAATTCATTAGTTCCAACAACTCTTGAATTGATGAGAACAGTATTAAGATATATTAGCATTTTGAAATTTAGTTACTAATTTATCTAGTATAACATACTGTACCAAATTTTTATAATATAGCAAGTTTAATGACATCAAAAAAAATACACCAATTTTAAATAATTAGAACCAGACAACTAATAATTTAAATAAAAAGAAGTCTATTAAATACAATAACTCTAATTTATGAGATACATGTATTGCAATTATAAATTTTGATCGAGTAATTCTATAATTGAGAGCCATTAGATGACAATTGTCCAATTGACGCAGTTTTTATAAGTCCATCAAATTCTAAAAGATAACATTATATTTTGTTGGATGAGTTAAAACAAATTTATGAGACAAGAATGTACTAATTTTTTTTGAATATTATCTATTGAATGGAAAGCCACCAGTATTTAAATTGTCAAATAGTAAAGATACTCATTGATTTTCTGCCTTAAAGATACATATTCCAGATATTTATTTATTGGCTTTTATATCAAAAAATTTATAGGTCAATTAAAATTTGAATTAGTCAAGTGATCGCGTTGATAGAAGTAAGCATAAATTACACCGGTACACGTCGTTCTCGTTAAACTGGAAATAACCTAAATCGGATAAATATTCCGGAACAAAAAATATTTGATTAACCAAGAATTCCTGCTAAAACCGGCCGGATCTCCTGCTAAACCGGACAAAAGTTCAGTTAACATATCTGGTTTAACGAGAACGACGTATACAGAGAAGCCTTCCTAAGTGCACTCTCTATAAATGCACATACTATATAACCTCCCTAAGTGCACGCTATGGCTCAGTCTCAAACTTATAAGCTCTCTGATTATTTACTCTATAAATGCACAATTTGTCTCTTTTTTAATATGGTCTCAAGGGGGATTCACTCAGAGAGGTTTATCTGTATTAGAATTCATAAAGTATCAGCCTCAAAATATGAAAATAGTTGATACATGATACTCAAAAATTCGTAATACATGCACAAGTGTTACTCTTTCTTTATTTAAGTTCTTGCAAATGCCATTGTAGAGTAAACATTTTCTAAGATTAGTAGATCTCATCATATTAGAAACATAATATAGAAAGTCACTGTCTGTAGCATGGGATCGTTAGTTTGTTTTTTTGACCCAAACTGAAATTAAAAAAATCGATCAATCTGCTCAAATTATCTTCTGTTGAACATTCATTAACTGAATGTTTTGTTGAAGTCGTATTAGAGGCGCTATAATAATAGAGTATAATTACAATAAATTGTAAGATTATTAACGATCACATTTTAAATTTCTGGTTCATTGAATATAAGATTAAGAGTAAAATAACAGCCAAACCATTTTACGAATTTGGCCTTGCAATGTTTATATTTTAGTGCTCAGTTTAGATATGGAACAATATAAATTGCGTGGTTTTTTTATCATGCGTAGAAATTTTATGTTTTGTTTCGGTTAAACCTGAAACTGATTTTCCAGAAATGCAAATGTCAGAACAGTTAATCCTTAGATCGATTCTAAACCAATCCTCATTTAACAACACCAGAACCGGTTCTTCCTTTTACTTATGAAAAGATTTTTGTGAAGACGCCGATTGTTTTTATTAAATTAGAACCAGATAACATCTTGCGCTTGTTATTTTTCTAACCTCAAATAATTACTTCGTTCCTTAAAACAGAAAAGAAATTAAAATTGGACTTGTATAAATAAATAAGTTTATTAGCTATAAATGCGATCGGTCCGATTGTCTAAATTCAAATAAAAAGTCTGATTTTATATGTTTTTTCTAGATATCTAAATGCTCAAGTTTATACAACGTTTATATTTGATATTTGATAATTAAACTAGGAATGATATATATAGCTCTTTTAAATACTTAGTTTAAATAGTTTACAATAATTAGTACTTATCTCTATGACTATAAAAATGACATTCAACTTTTAGTTCCTCGATCTTCTTCATAATAACTTCTAATTCTTGCTTTTTCTGTGGTATTTGTAATTCATAAAATTCAATTTTTTCCCTTAGATTTTTTTCAAGTTCCTTTTTTCGTTGACGTGATTTTCGTGCTGAATTGCGATTATATTCTCTCCGAAACTCTCTTCTCTCATCGAACTTGGCGTTGTTTGCTGGCGATGAGTATTTTTGATATGTTATTGTTTGTGATCCGATAGGTTTTGATTTAGCTATATCTAAAGACTCTGGTGCTATGATATCTGAAATAGTTTTATTGTTTGTATTTAAAATTCTCGGATATAAAAATATTAAAGATAATCAACTTACTTACCATTTAGTAATAAGAATTTTGATGTGTCTAGAAAATAGTTAATGTTTGAATTTTGTCCAGTCATTGAATTTTGTTCTGTAGTAAAGTAATTGTCAAAATTCAGTCCATCTTGTTTAGTCAAGAATTGAAATTGCTGAATCTTAGTAGGTCCCTTTAGAGGTAGATATTGGCTGTCATTACTAGGATTATAATTAGCATGAGAATCTTTGAAGAAAATAGTTTGCAATCAATAATCATCAAAAATCATTAACGTTAAATTAATATATAATGTTCGTACATGGTGAAGAATTCATATATGCGTTGAATCAAAGTATAACTCACCAATATCACCTTTTTGATAGTAATTATAGATATTATTATTTTTACCAAATATATCAGTTGATATAAAATTAGTTTCGGAAGGAATAGTGTTCAGACTTGTGAAAAAATCAAAAGAATGAGATAAAATCAATTATAAGAAAACAGAAATTAGAAGAACAAATTTTATTTTACCCAATAGGTTCATCAATCAAAATAGGTTCGTTCATCTTTCTTTAGAACGATACTTTAAATAAAACTTATATATCCAAAATTATATACACTAAAAAGTTTTTTTATGAACGTTGTTAATTAAATAATTTTTGCAAATTGATCAATGACATCAAATCAAGAGTATGCTTAATTATATGATTTAGAAATGTCATATTTATAGGCTCAATTGTTATCGTTAAATCACAAAAGAAGATAAATGATAAATTATATTTCATATCAAAATAATTTACATTTAATTAAGTTTTAATTGTGCTTCAAATTTAGATTATGACAAAAATTGATGAATTAAATGCTCAACCGATAGAGATATCACTTGCAATAAATTCAATGAAATCACTTGAAACTGAAATTCAGCTAAAGTTGCTAAATTTAGAGATGCAGTCACAACTTAATACATTTGGTCAAGTCAAGTTATAACTAAGTTATAAAAAAGATATAACTTAGTAAATTGTGTTAAGGCATGCTATATCAATATCCGATATTGAAATCTACATAATTTATTAGTTATATTAAAATAAAATACTCATATGTACAGTTATAGTATTCTATTAATTATGGAATACAATGAGAATACGAAAGTTACCCGCACCATATACCGTACGAATTCGCATAATACACACCCCTACAATATATTGCCGGAAATTTCAAAAATGAATTTGAAACTTTGGAGCCGATATCTCGACATCCAGCGATCCCATTCGAACAAAGACCATCAGATTCATCTCGACTATACAAATCTAATGGTGACATCGTTGTTCAAATGGGATCACTGGATGTCGAGATATCGGGCTCCAAAGTGACAAATTCATTTTTGAAATTTCCGGTAATATATTGTAGGGATTGTAGTTCCGACTGCAAGATTTTCCTAAACAATTATAAAGTTTAAAATCTAACACTAAAATCTTCAATCAAAAAGCATGATTAAATTAGTTTAAATTTATTATATATATATATATCGATATATTTTGCATTTCTTTTTCCTTCTTTATTCAAATAAAAATTCCTCTCCTTTCCCTTCTCCTTCCCCTCTTGTCCTCTCTCTTTTTTTCTTCTCTTTTTCTTTTTTGGCCAATTCTTTGACATCTGGCATCCAGCATAAATATCCGATCCTGTCATCAACATCCGATCCACATTACATACATGTATTCAGCACCTGACATCAACATTCGATCGATATATATACATTATCCAGCATTAACATCTAATCCATATTTGGCATTAATATCTGATCCACAATAGCATTAACATCCATATTTTTTAGCATTCACATAATAACACACATATAGCACATATATGATGATATATATTCTCTATCTCCAGAGAATATGTATCATCATGTATGTACTGGGGAAATGTGTGTGTATATTATGTGTTTGCTAATAAATATGTATTAAAAAAATAAAAAAAAATAAAAAACATAACTAATTACATATATTTTTAATTTTTATTTTAAAATATTAGGCATGTCAAGGAATACAGAGGAAAATGTGTTATTTGATAATGGATGGATGATGATTTTAGATTTTATTTATAAATTTTTTTTATAAAATTAATAATAATAATAAAATTAAAATAATAAATATATTTTAATTTAAATAATTATAGCACTACAACAACATTACAGGAATACTGGAAATAATAGGATAATTTTTTATTAGTTTGAATGTTTAAATAATTCTTTTTTTAATGATTAATTATTAAACATACTCAAGTCAACATATCCAGACCAACACGCCAAAATCAACACACCAAAATTCGAAATTCAGGTAACAAAATTCCGAAATACTGGATTGAAAAGGCTATAAGAGTAATAAATTTTTATTATTTATTTAATTTTTTAATATTTGTTATTACTTTATTTAATTTTTATTATAGTATTTTATTTTAGATATGGTTGACTTTTCTGTTCCAACTCTTGTTATATTTCAAGCATGCTTAATAAAATCTTGCAACATTAAGAACAATGCAGGTTAAATAATTTTTTTATTGCATAATTTTTAATATTTTTTTATATTTTAAACTGTACTCTAGATTATCTTGGCTAACAACATCTCGGAATACTGGAGTAACATCTTGGAATACTGGAGCAGCATCCTGGAATACTAGAGCAACATCTCGGAATACTGGAGCAATATCTCGGAATACTGGAGCAATATCTCGGAATACTGGAACAACATCTCGGGATACTGGAAATACTGGAACAATGCAAGTATTTTTTTAATTATTTGCTTTTTTTTAAAAATAATAAAAGAGAAAATATTATTTTTATTTTATCAAATAACACATTTTCCCCTGTATTTCATTACATGCTTGGTATGTATTTTCTTTATTATAAAAAACAAAAAAATCTACGTATTCATGTGTTACTATGCGTGTACGCATGTAGGCATTTCGGTTGCGGCGAACCAATTAGAAATTCAATATCACGTAACGGTAATGCTCAGCCATTTCTTTGTTCATCCTTTTTCATTCATTAATTTGGCGTTTCTGCTTATCCCTCCCTAAAAAGATCTCGAAATAGAACAGTACGTTCGTATTTATTCTAAAGTGTAAAAGCTTTAGTTTCCATATATAGAGGGTGGGTATTTTTACTCTTCTTCATTTCATGC